CCTCCTCTGCCGCAGCCGTGGGGAACGGGAGTAGGACCAGCACCTTGCTCCCACGCAGGAGGCCTCTTTGACACAACGCTTTCGAGTTACCTTGGGGATTTTATTTTTTTTAAGGCCCAAGAGACCAAACCGCTTCCAGCCCCTTCTCACTCCATGGCCGGTGCCCACGTAAACGCCGTGGCCTGGCAGCGGCACGCAGGCGCCCAGCCTCCGCTCTCACGCGGAGAGGCCGGACGGTGCCCGCACCGACATCGTCCTAAGTGGTTTCCTCTGGGAGATGTTTCCATCGCTTGAGCAACTTTTTCCACCCAGTGTAACAGGAAGAGCCTCTGTGGGCAGATTTCCACTTCTGCTTCAGGTTGCACTTTCCCAGCCTGGGGCCGAGGGAAGAAAGCAACTTCAAGGGAAGAAACGTGCATCAATGTCTCCACTCAAGCCAAAACAGTGGCTTTTCGGTCAAAAACAAACAAACAGAGAAACACGCACACAAAAAAAAAAAAAATCCCACTCCCCACAACGCACACCCTAAGCCTCCAAAACAACTATATGCAAGCAAATTTCTTGGGCTTGGGGCAGGTTTAGCGAGCGCAGCCGTCAGCCAGCCCCAGGTGCCTTGGACAAAGCTTTCCGCCTGCTGCTTGCTTAGAGGGAGACTTGACCTCTTCTGGAGTGACACAGGTGCACCCTGTGGACCTGTTACCCTGCAGCTCCTGAAACCTTAGTATACTGTTCTCCCATCCCGGAATGAGACTCCTGTCCAAAACGTGGCACCATCTCCTAAAGCCAGGCCTTGCTGCCTCCACTATATCTCAGTGAGGTCATTCACTGGATGGATCAAAAGCTTGTCTTCAAACTCAGCTGGCTTGCAGACCTTACAACACTGCTACTCGCCTTGTCAGGAACTCCTCTTCCTCAAAAACCAGATTTTCCTCAATCTAACTTATTTCTGTTCCCTCTAAAAAAAAACGAAAAAATCAAAAAACTATATATATGGGCAGCAATGGGTACTCAAAATGGACTTATGAGCAGCGCGGGATGGAGGGGACAGACCAATACCTCATAGCTGCCAAACGCAGCACATGGATGAACGGCCCTTTTCTTCCCTTCCCTGTTACTGCTCTCATCTGAAGAGCTGGAAGCCCCCGCTCAGGAAGCGAATGAAGGAGTAGCTCTTCCTGCTCAGCTAACAGAGGAACAGGCTTGGAAGGATTTGTGAAATCACCGAGTTTATCATTTATTCCCAGCAGGTGTTTAAAAAAAAAATTCAAGAGTTTTACAGCCTTCAAGAAATAAGCCTCTCATCTGGTTTATGCAGGGGAGCATAACTACTGGAGCAGAGATTTAGAAAGGTAACAGATCAGTATTAAAGTTTACAAACAAACTGCCAGACAGGCCAGGCAACCACAAACAAAAAACCCCAACTCCAGAGGCTGCAAACAGACACCAGAGCAGCAGGTAACACGTTATAGGGAGCTTCTCCCACTTGCACCAGGCACAGCGCTGCCCTTAGGTCCTCACGGCTGCAGCTCTCCCTCCTCTCCTCCCCTTTCCTCAATTTTGAGGCTAAAGGAAGAAATCAAGCGACCACAAAACATCGCCTCTACCTCTTCAGCACAGAGGAATCGAACTCTTGACAAGCTCACAGCGCGCACGCAAACCAAGCGGTGCGGAAACCTTCCCGTTGCTCTCTTCCTCGAGGCCAGACGCATAGGACACGAGCGGCTCAAACCCAGGAATCGGGAGATCCTGAATCGTATTTCACATAGCTCTCACGGCTCCAAGGTGGCCGTGCAGACCGAGCACAACTTCGGACATCAGCTCAGACTTATTTCTAGGTGCTCCAGCCCTATGCCTTTTTCCCGCCCGGTAATTCCGATCAAACTCGTTCCTGGGACGTGGGAACAGGTTCGGCCACAAGACAGCGCTTCCAGCCTGTGGGACGGGACGTCACTCCAAGCGAGATGCCAGAGAAGGAAGAAACGACAGATGCCGGCATCACTTTATCATTTTCTACTTTATTACTTCAAATTAACAACCACGATAAAGCTCAAAAAAGTCCAATATTTACACAGGAAAAAAGTACAAAATCCCCCCCAAAGTTCTTCAGGTTTTTTTTCGTTTTTTAAATTACAAAGTAATAAAAAGTTTTGCTCTTTAATTAAAAAAAAAAAAGAGAGAGAGAGAGAGAGACAGACAGACAGTAAGAGGGGTAAATAAATTAGGAAAAAAAATAGGGAGGAAAAATGAAGTGTTAAATAGAAAGGATAACAACGAACAAACAAAGACTAACCCCACCCTCCCCGCCCTGCCAACAACCCATTGGCTCCACACTACAGTGACAGTGTGTCTGCTACAGGCCATAGGTCGCAGTGGTGATCACTGTGTTTCAAAGCCCCAAGCGCCACAAAGCAGCTTGAGTATTCCTAAATTATATTTAAAAACAACTAAAGGGGGGGGGGAAGGAGAAGAGGGCAGGAAAGGGTTGTGCATGTATGCTGGATCTTACTTGGGGCTGCATGAGGGAAGGAGAGAGGAAGAGCCATTGCTCTGAAAAAAACACCCAACTCCAGTTTGTGCGTGTCCCTCTCATCTCCTTGAGTCCCACACTCTCTCCGCAGGAATTGAAACAAGTTTTATTAAAAAAGAGGAAGAAAAAAAAAAAAAAAACAACACACACACACACACACGGCCAGACGAAAAAAGACCCCGCTGCAGGGATGGGAAGGCGGTTCTCATCTTCCTGCCTTTCAGCTTCAGCCTTCTCATCCTCCTTGTAACCAGGTGCATCTCCACACATCCTTTGGCGCGTGAGGACCGCTCAGATCCTAAATCTGGCACTTCCCCTTACAGCCCAAAACAACACAGAGGAGCCACCAGAGGAAAGGAAGCCCGAGTCTTATGATTAGGCCATTGCTACAATCCCCCTCTCACAGCTTAAGATTCATTTAATGCTTGAGAAAATAAATTCTGCTATAATAATAATGATAAAAATCAGACTTCTACCATCAAGCATGGCTGGAATCCGATTCCCTCCTAGCCCATAAGACTCCTGCAAGAAAAGAAACATATCCACCCCCTGCCCTCAGGGAAAAAGGAGAGCAAAGTTAAAATTCAGACAGCTAGAAACCATTTGATTTGAAAATTAAAAAAAAAAAAAAGGGAAGATTTAAAAAAAAGGGATAAACTAAACAAGGAGCAGAGACAGGAGAGGGAGCTGGGGGAAGCCAGTGGGGGCGGTAGTAGGGCCAGAGTGGGGCTGGGGGGGAGCTGCGCAGAGGCAGCGGAGGTGGTCCCGGGGCACAGCTTGACTCCTCATCGTTGGCAAAAAAAAAAAAATAATAATAATAATAAAAAAAATCTGGTTTTGTTTTTTGTCTTTTTTAATTTTTTGTTTGTTTTTGGGTTTTTTGTTTTTTAAAAGAAAAATACAGTGAAGACACTAGAAAAAAAGAGAGAGAGAGAGAAAGGGAAGAGAAAGGTAGAATAAAAACACTAACTCTTTCCAGCGAGTCCGACGCCAGCTGGAATTTAACAAAACAAACTACCCCTTTCTTTTACACTTCTGCCACCCCTCAGAACTACCCTGTCCAGCTACTATTGTTTCCTCTTGAAGAGGCACTCACTAGCTGTGCAAAGTCTCACCAAAATCTCACACGTGACTGTGCTCAGCATCCTCCTCTCCACCGCTCACATTACTAGAAAAGCATTCATTACGAACTAACAAAATGGCTCTCCAGCCTAGCACCTTCTCTGCTCTCCCTACCCTCTGGGAGAAACGGAGGAAAGATACTTTTACATGCAAGATAACACATCCTCAAGGCTTTGCCAGCAAACCTTACTCCTCCGTCTGAAGCCAAAAAACATCCCATCAAGGTAAGACAAAGGGGAAAGGAAATGCACCAATACCCTACAGCAGCAAAGCTTCAACCTGATGCCTAGCGCCAAAAATTCCCTCCTTGGGGGAACCCCCGGCATGAGGATGGACTCACCTAAGCAAACACTGGTCCAGTGGCAATTGCTCCTCACTTCCCAAGGTGATCAAATGGCACGCTTGTCTAGAAGAAAGAGAGGAAGAATAGTCAAAGGATGGAGAGCAAGCAAAGGACATAAAGGACACAAAACCAGACAGGCTGTGTATTTCTTCGCCTCATTCTCTCTATGGGACAGCCTCCCTCCCAAGGGTTTACCGTTCCACTTCTCCAAACCACTGTGGTCCAGAAGACAAACACATGAAGGCTTACTCTGAGCAAAGCAGAGCTAAGACAACTGTACTGAGCATGGCCTGCAGAAAATTTTTAACTGAATAGTGAAGGTGGTGCCGCTCCCCCTCAGTGTATCGTAGAAGCTTCAGGTGTTGTGCTCACATCAGCACCAGCAAATCAGGTTAAAAAACAACAACAACAACAACAACAAACCCCCACCACTCTAGGCCCTTGAGTCTTTCTGGAAGAGGTGAGCCAAGGCCGTGGACATCGCTGCAGGGACTCACCTGTGATGCTGAAATCCGTGACACTTCTTGCCGCCCTGTGAGGTCAGATGAGGAGACGTTGGCAGGAGCTCCTCGGTGTAACCTCATGCTGACCTTCCGCTCCCTGTCCACTCGTGAGATTGCTCTGGGGGACGTGTTTCCTGTCAGAGGCAGAGAAACGTGAGGCAAGAACATCCATCATTCAAGATTCAGTTTCCAGGCAAAAATAGCGGTGGCACCCCTCCTCCCCCCGCCCCCCAACTCTCCTGCCCCGCTCACCGGACTGTTGGATTCGGGAGGTGGGGGTAGAGGCCATGGGCTCGGCAACATTGCGAAGACGGTTGGCAGTGGCTCCAGCCGGGGGGGCAGGGGGGGGGGGC